TATCTACCTGAAGCCATCTCTTCTTCCCATTTCTTTCAGTCTTCAGTATCATGGTTCATAATGATACTAGAACAATTTCTTCAAAACCTTTCTCCCTCTGCTCTGCATTCAACATAGGAGGGAATGAAAGCTTTACTTCCTTTCATTCTCATTTCTTTATTCACCAGCAAGCTTCTTCATAAGATTGGAGTAACTTATAAGACTTCATAGAAAGGTCAATATTTTTAAAAGAAATCAATGCAAATTTTTTAAAAAAAATAAATTTTAAAAGAAAACTATATGCTAATTATGTTTTTCCTATAGACCAAGCAAAAAACACTTTATGAATTTAGGCCTTCAGTATGAGCCACCTTGTGGTTTTTCCCATTTTCTAACTTTACTCAATGAAGGAGAAATTTTCTTCTATATATTTTCATTTTTAACAAGAATTATTTATTGGGCTCTCTGTTAGTCCTCCACTTCCTCAAATATAAAATGTGAACCTCTCTCTCCGTTAAAGAAGCCTTTACCCCCTTCAAGAAATCAGAAGACCCCATAGGACACAGATATCCATTGCATGGTATCAATAGTATGCTTAACAAATGTAGTTGTCTTGTTTAATGACTATATGGTCTAAAGACCCAAATTTCATACTGTGCTTGGTGATCTTTAGTACTCTAAGACTAAGTATCCAGTATTCAGTACTCCAAGTATCCAGTAAGCATTCTAGAGGAACAGTGGTTGTTTGTTTTAGGCATGCATTTTATATTTTCTGAATATATAAGACATACTTTTGCAAAATGTACACACACACCCAAACATATAGACACCTCTCCATGAACATTTAATTTTCAGAGATACTGCAGTTCAGTGAAGATGAGAAGCATATTCCTGTCTCTTCTCAAGCCGGTTATTTCACAATAGAAGTTAATCTTTATTAATACTCTGAGGGAGGACAAAATGTCCAATAGTTGAGAGTTTATTCTTAATGATACTTATCTTAGCTAAATAAATACACAGTAAAATTTCTAAAATGTCCCATTGATAATTCCTATTGATATCTTAGTCAGGGCTATTCTCAAATTTGATCATTGTCTATGCTACTAGAGGTTGAAGGAAACTTTCTCTGTGTTGCATCCATGTGTCAAAAGGGAGCATTTAATTAGCCTAACTATATACTCTGCTGGATATGATGTGGGGTGGGCAAATTTTAAGAAGGAAATAGTTAAGGTGGTAGAGGGACAAAATAGAGGTAGCCAACTGGATTTTTTCTATAGGGGAAAATTTTCTTACTTTAAAACCAAATTTCATTTGATTTGGGGTAAGATAAGACAAATATAGTACATTTCACTTGGAGAAATCAGTCATTCTTTAATTTTGCCTGGTGGCACAACTGCAGGTGCATTATCCATTTTATGTTTTACGTGAAGATCATACCTCAGAGCAGTTGCACAGATTACAATAGGAATAATGTCCTCTATGGTTGTACAATAGGCTTGTAGTGGAAGAACCTTTGGAGTTGTAATATTAATTTGCATGTAAATTATTTATAATTTAATTTTTTATAGTCTTTCAAAGTCAACTTCCTCATTAACTGATATTAAGTCAAATGTCTTCTCTAAGTTTTCCTAGTGCTCATTGCATTGCTATCAAAAGTTGGTCTACTTGTCTGTTTCCCCAACTAACTCTAAGCTCCGGAGCTCTTTAATCGCTGTGCCAATACTTCCAAGTAGTCTGGCACAAAGGAACTGTTCAGTAAATCTTTCCCAAATTAAATTATTCTCCATGAGATGCACCAATTAACTTGTATTTTTTTCTTCTTAATTTGAATTTGTTTTCAATTTAGTTCATAGAGAATGTTCTATGCTATTTATTAAATGAAATATCTACTTGAAATAGCATATTAAAAATTAAGCTTAGTTAAATCTCAGTTTCCTGTGATCATTATATAAGTTACTCATTACTGCATCTCGTATTAGCTTGGTTCAATGGTTAGATAGCAATTAACACCAATGCTTAGTGACTGCTTTCCTATTCTGATATTACTGATGATACTTAGTATTTAAAGTGCTGTAGGGTTAATTTTAAATGCTTGTAATTTGCCTACCCTTCTGACTGATAGTACATTCTTATACCTATTAATATGAGGGGTACTCCAAAACTATGTAGAAGAAGACTGGTTTGCAGAGATTGAACCATTAACACTATTAGCCCCTCAGTTCTCTTAAATCACCTAAATTATTTCTGCAATCTTTAACATCAATGACGCTGAAAAGATTTCTTTGGAATGTAACCAAAAGTCTGAGTGTTTTGTGACAATAGAAAAGAAGACATTGTTTTGAATAATTATTTCAGTCTCTTACCCACAGGAATTTAAGGGTGGGGCAGTGGGTCTCTCCTTTTCAGGAACCCCCTCTCTTTGTCCCTTTCAATTCACCTATACCATTGCTGCGTCTTGATTGGCCATTGAAACATTGCTTTCTTCAGGGTATGTTCTTTGACTCTAAAATCACCAGTAATGTCAGTGGATAGATATTATTCAGAAGAAGTTGTTAGATGAAATTTCTGTCTTACAATATGAAGTGAATGTTCAGGTGTAATAATGCAACCATTATAGGCTTTTTAAATATTCTCATATATTTTTCATTTCATTAAAAGCTAAGATGAATCTGTGTAGTTAGATTGTTCTCATCATTTCACACATCTAACTTTGTTTGTAAACATTCCTAAGACTGTGTTCAAACTCAGTGATAAGCTTTCCAGTCTACCAGGCCATACACATGTATCCTATCTTTTCTGGTTTTCCACTACAGTAAGTATAGTCTCCATGGTGAATATTCGTTTATTATTATGAGCACATTATTTAGGTAAAAAAAGAACATGTATTTTAACTTGTTGATTTATTGAACCTATCTAATTATTCTAGAACTCAAATAGTAACTGTTAAAAGCAAAAGAAAACTAGACATTTTATTATACTACTCCAACAGGTATAGCCAAAGTTTAATAGTACTTGTCACAATGACTTGTTGATAGCAGTGTAGGAAAACTATTCACAAAGATGACTTTGTACAAACTTCAACTTCAAGGAAGACATCAATGATCAATAGGAGGAAGCAGTCACCTTACAGTTGAGTAAATAAGTTTACAAAACCAAATATTAGCCGGAAAGATTTTAACAGTTTTGAATTATAAAATGCTCTAGAATATTGCAATGAATCTAACTCAGATGGAGATAAAATTAATCTTAATCTTAAAGATTTGCCGTGCCATTTGATTACCTACAATTGGTAGGGGCTCAGTCGATACTTAAGGATTAATGTTGACTGAGTAAGGAGGAAGACCTCGTTCACCACCACAACTACCACAAAAAAAGTTGCACATGAAATTAGACTGATTTTTTAATTTAAAAGCTGATTAGAATATAAATTGGCTTCTTTAAAAAACATATTCCAGAATGGATACTGATAATGTCATAATTTTGTCAATTGCTTTATTATGCTTTTTATTCATGCATAAAGTCAACATTTTATTATAAGTGCTAAAGTGATATTTAATTATGGAGTTAAAATTAAAAATATGTAGCAAATGATTTACAAGTAGAATATTTGTTTATACTTGATTAAACTGTTTTGGTCATTATGTATCATTTTACTACTTGCTTTTGAATAAAGATACTCATTTCATTCACTCTTAGCATACTTCAAGAATTGTAATTAAAAGCTGATGAGTAACCCAGATACTGGGTACTGAGAAACAGGAAATATTTACTTTCTGTGGAGTACAAATTAGTTGTATATGCAGATTATGTATTACATAGATAAGAATTTTCCATAAAATCTCAAGCAGTGTATTTGAAAGAGCAAGCACGAATAATTTGCAGCTTATTCAAACAATTGTTTCCAAATTCTGCCCTCCATTTCCTAGCACCTCAAATGAATGAGTCACTCATGTTAGATTGCCAGACATATTAAGAAATCCATTCCATTGAGTATCTTAGACTTAATTTTTATGAATTTTTTATAACTTCTCTATTTACATTGTTCAGATCCATTTAACTTGAGTATTTTGTCATTTGGAGTAATAACTCATCAATCCGTTAGTGCAACCTTTCTTTATGTTACTTTTCTTAGTGTTATGAAATGTGCTATTTTGAATCCCTGAAATGTTATAAACTGCCAGATTGCTAATTGCTTTGGATGCTGTGAAAAATAATTACTCCACATTATTTTTGATATTTAATTGACAGTGTAATGCATTTAACTAAAGACCTGCAATAAACTATTTCTAATTACTGAGGCTGGTGAAGTGGAAAAGTAGGCTGTAAAACTTTATAAGGGAAACAATGTTTTCTCCAATACATTAAAAGTCATTGTTGATAAAACTTTTCATAGACAGAAAAAAAAAAAATCCCCTCAAACAGGAAGGCCTAGAAAGCCAAAAAGAGTTGTTGTGGAATATTTTTACTCATAATCTAGTAAGGAAATATTTTAAATTATTATTTTTGAATTGATTGCGCTGGTAATGGATGTCATATACCGAACTTACTTCTCTTACACTAAAATTTTGCATTCTTTAGATGGCAGAACTTTATGAAGAGGATAATCATACCACTGCCAGAATGAGTAATCTCTGTCACTGGCCTGTGTTCAATTTATTCTGCATTTGTAGGACATTCAGCTGAAAAGCAAATTTTCACACTGAAATATGTAGATATATCAGGAGCTGGGTTTGTTCTTAGCTCCCAGTATCAAAACGTTGTCTTATAACTGAACAAAATACTTAGAACCAAATGCAAGGAATCTCTAGTCTGGAAGTATCACAAATTGGGTTATAAAAGATGGGTAATATTTCATTGTCTTGTAACTCTGGGATATTCCTTTTTTTGATTCCCCATCAACTATGGTTAAAATAAAATGTCTCCGTTGCTATTTCATTAAATTGCTGCTTTAATCTCAATTATGTCCAAAAACAGACAGCTCAAATAAATGACCTATTTCAGGGAATGTAAATTATTTTCAGAATTTCAGAAATTGAAAAGGGATAAGAGGAAGGAGAAAATGCTGGGCTGGTGTGAAGCGATAGCTCGTAACCCTCACAGAATCCCAAACAACACGCGAACACCCGAGATCTCAGGGGATTTGACTGATGTCCAACAAACCTCCACATTGGTGAGTGAAAAGTTATTTTACCTCAAAATGGCTTCTCTGTAAATTGAATGTTAAGGAAATGGAGAGAGGAAGATGTTCTAATTAAACATTTTTCTTATTTTATGTTAAATTGTTCAGAGGTTTATTTTAATTAGTGGATATTAATTTAAAAATCACAGCATCATATAATATTGGAGTAAAATTCAGATTAAATACTTTTTTTCTTTCAGTTACATTGGTTGAACTTTTTTTATGTTAGTGACCTTAAAGATATATTTAAATTTCATATTCTCACACTCTTCTCTTATATATTGGAGTCAATGAGGAAAAGCAGTTATCTAAAAATAATGAGTAATCACAATCATAACTTTAGTATTTTCAAATGCATGTTCTCAAATTGTCTGAAAAAGGATTCAATGTTTTAATTTTTATATAAAATTGTGAATTAAATAATTGCAAAAGTAATTTAAAGACCAAATCAATAATATATTCGTTTGTGTTTTATTTTCTACTTGACATTCAAATGCTTAGCTTTAAGTAACCATTATTTTCCAGTGGTTAGAAAAAAAGAACTCATTAGCAAAAGAAGGTTTAAATGTTCTTTGATCAGATGTTGGCTGTAATAGTCTTCATTTTGATTTAAATAAGAAAAGTTTCATTTAGTCATTAAGATTTGAATTGATGTTAGATGTAGTTTAAGCATTTTCTAGGGAAACTCATGTTTTCATTAGCCTGATTTATTAATTGATGATTATATAATAAGATATGAACAAAATTTTATTATTTTTATTTTTGAGTTATTTGATAATTCCTTTTATTTTAGTTTTTATTTTACATAAAAGTAATGATGCTGTGCAAACATTATTAAGTGAATATCAATGGAAACCATCTGAAGAAATAGGTTTTCAGGTGACAAAACATAGAAAAAAAAGTAGGAAGAAAAAAAGGAAACAGGAGTGGAAATCCTGCTTAGATTCTGTCATTTGAGATCGTAGTGGGATGGCTGAGGGTGCAGAGAAACGAGGCAAAACAATGCAAAGCTAAATTTCTAAGGAATAGTGTCTGAAATTATCATCTGCAATGTTTCCTCTTCCACATCATCTTTTTATAAATTGTTATTTTCAATAACGTTGTTTAACATGTGTTAGCACCATGTATATATTACACCAGATTTTTTACAAAAGGCTGAACTTTGTCGGGCATAATACAATAGCTAATTTTTTAGGTTAAAATAAATCACTTGTGTGCTTTTATTAGAGTAACTTCAGTGCTTAATTCCTGTTTTCTAGAACAATAGATCATAACCGTGAAAAGTCTTGAGTGAATATTAGCTGACTTTCTTCTATAATCAGGAACATGATGTTAGCTTTATTTTACAGATGTGTACTGTGAGAAATTGATTTTGTCCGTGTCACTTAGCTAGAAATAACACAAAATTACCAAAACTTAGGCTTCTCAAGGACAGGCTTTTCCCCTTACACCACACCCTCCCATTTCCTTGATGGGGTTTGCTACCCATCCTAATATTTCTGGTAGAAAGAGAAGGATATCAAATTAACAATTTAATTAAATTCAGTAATTAATCATTTAAAATCCAATGCTGTATTGGAGGATAACCTCCAAACGAATGCCCAGATCTCTGTTTCTTAATATAGAATAATAAAATATTTCTTTCATAATTATTCATGATGCATGTGTGTTGGGCGACTTTCCTTGGAGATTAACTGCCAAATGTGGATTCAGAGATACAAGCTCCTTCCATCTCTTGATATTGCCTTCTTAAGAACGTGCCATCTTAAGATACCAAGGAAAAACAAAAACTATGTAGGCCATTGTGTAAGGGCTGTTGTGGAGCAACCTCAGATTAGAGGACATCCTTCCACTGACCAAAATCTCGTCTCTTGACCCCACCTGAACCTCAAGGGAGGCTGGCAAATATTCTCTTTCTAGGAGATCAGGAAGAAGAGAAGGATTTAGTGAGCATCTCCCCCGTCTCTGCCACAGTCCATGTTTTTTGTCAAGTATTCATGTCATGTTTCCACTCTCTCACGACAAAGGATTATTACTTTCCAAGAGAGATAACTCAAAATTCTTTCATTTACTGGATTTAGCACAAGTCTGTGAATTCTGATTATGTATTGTCCTCATCAAATAATGATGGTGGCGAATCACTTATGAATGTATTATCTGTATATGTATCTGTCAGAATGAAGAGAAAGATAGTTTTCCATATGACCAGAATATAGCAATTAAGAGCATTTACCCAGCTTATGTCACAAATGCTATCCTTCTTTGAAAAATAGCACTTTTGTCCTTCATTTCCATTTTGTGTATCTTGTTTCTGTTATTACGCCTCTGCTGTCATCTAAAGCATTTGAGCTTTCCAGTACAAATCATCCTCCATCTAAAGATGATGCAAATGATTAGGGTGATGGTGATGACTGATAACTATGTATCAAGAGGTTATCTAAGCATTTTGCACATATTGTAAGTTTTGAATAATCACAAAAATCCAGTGAGGTAGTTATAATCAATTTCTCCAGTTTATGGATAAGGAAACTGAGACAAGGAGAATTTAAAAATCTGCCTAAAGTATGGTAAGTAATAATTAGTGATGACTAGTACAGCTGGAATTCTAACAATCCAAGCAGTCTAAATCTAGAGGAACACTCTACATCATGTTTCCCTCAGGTTAAGATGGGGGTTGGGTGGGGCAAGAAATGGTCATTATATGAACCATATACATTTGACTAAACACCAAAATTGCAAATGAGATAATAAAACATGATAGATTTTTATATATTTTTAAATATATATTTATCTTTAGACAACTAAGACAAGTAAAGACAAATAAGTTCCCTTTTTTAATATCCCTTGGCTATATGTATCCATTAGATTAGCTTCTGCTCTACATTGACTGAAATGTAAATATGGACAATTTTATAGTCATTTTCACCATTGTGGACTCAATAACTAATGTGATTGAAAAGAATAGCTTCCTTTTTCAGTCTACCAAACAGTTTAGATTACTTTTTTAAATTCAGAAATTATTTAGTTTAAAACGTTGATATTGAGGGGCCTCCCTGGTGGCACAAGAGGTTGAGACATAACCTGTGAAACTATCTGCAGTCACTGCAGCACGAGTTCTATCCCCAGCCAGGGAGCTGAACCACATGGAGCAGCAGACCGCTCCCAACTCACCCGCTGCTCCCCTCAGCAATGCTTTTCAGTCGATCTGCCTGTTCTGCTCCCCACACTGTCTCTGATGAATCCTCTCACCCCCACACCCAGTTCTTGTATGCATAAATAAATAAATCTTTTAAAAAATTTTCATATTGAGTAAGAACACTGAGGGGTTTGAGAGATTACCCCTGTTAAGCAACTGCCTTCACAAAAATGGCCTAAGGGGTAGGGCAGCAACCCTTGTTTATGACAAGTAAGGAAGATACCTACCTTTGAATTTACTGTAACACAAGTTTACATGTTAAAAACAAAACATCTTTTACCAACTATACTCTTAAAAATGTACTAACTCAAAAATCCAGTGTTAATTTTAAAAGAAGTGCAAAGGAGATCATAAGAACCAGAAATAGTGGAATAGAGTTGAAAAAAATCTATGGCAGTCAAAATAGGGAGATCAAAAACTGTCATTTCAGGTGGTCAGCAATGACTCTGGAGAAAATTACTTTCTTAAAATCAATGAGGAGTCTTTGAGGGAATAAATAGACTATAGTTAGGAGAGAAGAACAAAGTGTCACTCTGTGTGTTCGATGAGGTGATTTGCCATTTTCCAATATGTATTCATCAGCTTGGGGCACATTTTGCATCCTTCTGGGTGTATGATCCGGGATGAGGTGTTTGCTGTGCAGGAAAACACTAATGGGACGGATAGCTAGTTATGTAGTTCATATAGATGACATTCAAGTGACAAACACAGAAAGATATATATTTATAAAATGTTATAATATTAAACGATGCATATTATCCATTGTTTCATTATACCTTTCATGTATGGTATAATGTTTGTTAGAAATATGTAAATGATTGTATCTATTTACATATTGATGTTTGATGTTTTGATGTTTGTTTAAATGTTTTTGATATTTGTTAGCGCTATGTAAATAGATTGTATCTTTTAGCTGAAGAATCATACTATTATCAGCTTTTTTGTTGTTCTTTTTTTGCTCATGGGCTGTACTTTATTTTTATTTTTTCCTGTATTTTATATTAAACCAGACCATTGGGACATTTGTGTAATATAGGGGAAATATGCCCCTAAGCTTGAGACTTTTCCATCCAGAATCCCAGTCTTTATGATTTAATGAACACTGACTTCTGCTGGATATCACATAGAAAATGAATAAATTCATAGGATTTGTGTGACTCTAATTAATTACAAGTGCTCTTACCATTAAAAGGAATAATAATATAAAAGAGCAAAATTTGGTGAAAGTCTAAAGGAAAGTAAGTCAAGTAGAATATTTGCAGTTGCTTTAAATTATGGACAAACTAATCTTAAGATCAAACAATTCTGAGATGGTTTCTATCAAAAAAGTACACAAAGTTTTGGAAACTAAAATCATAATTATAAAAGTACATTTTGTTGTAATAATATTCTGTCTTCAATAAGAACTCTAAATATTGCCGACAGTTTTCCTGAAGCTTTAGACAATGAAATATAAATTTTTGCATACAAAAAATCATATTTACCAATTAATAATTGCCAAAAGCATCTTTCTCAGTCTCTTCTGAATTATTCTCATTGCGTACTTGGAAGTTATCCAGGCTAAAGGAAATCATACATATACCTAAAGCAAACAGACTGGTATTGCCCTAAAAACATAACCTCTCCTAGAAACCAAATAAAAAGTAAATAGAAAGAGAAGTTTGAGTATATTAAATTTCTCATTAAATCTATTTTCAATGGACTCACCCTTATTTCTTTTAGTGTCTGAGCAAGTGGGTCAGTTGTTTATTGTGTAATGGCCTATATGCATTTTGATGACAAACTATGTCAGGGA